CCTTGCCCTGAAAATGAAAGTCAACACCTTTCAGTTGTAATTTGATATAATCAGATCTACATCTGTTGCCCTTCACCAGATAATCATCCTGGTGAAAAGGCAACTCTCCCGCATACAGGCACTGGTGAATTAGGAAGTCTGCTTGCCAGTTAACCACTCCTGGTATGTAGACCACTGAAACAGCCAAAAACTGTTAATTTTCCCACTGGCCTACCAAAAGATGAGTTACACTCATAGGGCTGCCACTAACACTAAACTACATGTGCCACCCTGTTGGCTTATATAGGCCAGAGCAAAGGCTTTGTTTGTTGGTAAAATCCTTCCATAAGAAATATTGAAGCAGGAACAGCCTTATGGCCCAAACGTTGAGAAAGTTGATCAATAGTCTGGATTCTTTTGAATCTGAAATCTGGTTTGAATCAACCATTGGCTTGTCTGTCACTACATCACTATAAGAAGCCTTGTCTGTATGTCATCTCACTGGCATCTTCACGGAACTAAAATACCAACTAAAATATCAATATTGGGTGGACATCCCAGACTGGTGAAATCCAACAGCCAGTGGATGTTCATTATGGTAGATATTACACACAGCAATTTTTCCGTTCTGCAGCTTTATTGATATATTTTATTCACCAAGCAGAACGCCACTGAATGTGCTATACCTGAATTTCCTAATTACAGTACAGAGGGTATCACATTTTAGCCTGAAATGCAATGCATTATTATATTACCCACAAACATCAAATCAGCTTTGAAGTATTAAAAGCTTACAGTGGGGAGTCTAAATTACAGTATGACACACAGAGGGTGGCCTGTAGCATTACACAACGAACAGTGCATCTTTATTACAATGGTACGTTCAGGGCACTCGCCTGTCCTTGATTTCAAGCTGCTGAACTAAATCTAATTTCCCCCGTGCTACACTAGAATATTTACACTGTTCCTGTGTCCCTGCCAACATTATATCATGCCCACATATGCAGCCCTTGTGATGGTCACAATTGCACAGCACCTCCTTGCAAAACAATGCCATGGCAATGTTTCGGATCCAAACAACCATTGTTTATTGAAATTAACGCTTACCTTTCCTCTGAGATGTAAAATAACTCAACTTATTACAAAGAAACATAAATCCTTATACTTCATAAACAGCAAAGTGCTGTCAAGGCCTAGATTCTTTCTTAGATACACAGAATATAACTGGATACTAACATTTATAGGTAAAGTTGATCCAGGGAATATCCGATTGCCTCTCAGGGGATCAGGAAGGATTTTTTTCCCAGCAGGAGCAAATTGGATCACGCTTTGCTGGGTTTTTTGCCTTACTGTGGGTATAGGATTATGACTTTTTTTTTTTTTTTTTTTTGGTTGAACTGGATGGACTTTTGTCTTTTTTATTCAGCTAGACTAACTATGTAAGATGTGGTGGCTGCATCAGTTTTCTTTGGCTTTCTTCCCTCGGTTTCACCTGGTGATCTGGCCAGTAACACACCACCTGTATTAGAATGCCCCACTCTGGATAAAGGGGCACAACAGACAGCAGCATTGTCATTCTGGTGGTGGTGGTGTTGAATGTATTAGCAGATTTGAATACAGTAACAAACTGAAGCCAAACTCCAGCTCACACTTTATAATCAGTTTCAATCAATCAGTTTCAAATCAGTTTCAATCAGCATCACAAAATCAACAATTTTTTTTTTCCTTTTGGGATTAAGGTTTTAGATGAATATCATTTTTTAATGACCCCTGCCAGTTTTAAATGGTTTGTCTTATACATGTAAACTGGTACATTCTGCTGGAGATCTTGTCACCAGATGAAAACAGAGAAAGAAAGCCTACATAAGGAAAGTAATGCAGCCATCATATGTAAGAATTGGTAAGCTGCAATATAACAAAAAAAGTTTGCTTTTGGGTTCAAAAGGGTTGAACTTCCTCTTTAACATCTATACAAAAGAAATCATAAATAATACATAACAAATATGTGTTTGCAGGTTTATATAGTGTTCATTTGTATATCTGTCATAAATGATTACTTTGCTTTTTGACACATTTAATGAGTCAACGCATGGGTATGGTGATCAATAAAAAAGCAGATTCTCGTAAACTAAACACTGAGACGGAAGAAAGAAAAATATGGCTGATGCCTAAACTATTGTCTAACCCATTTTACAAATATGACACATGGATCTGAGTGGTTAATGTAGACAACTCCTGCCCTTTTCCTTTATACAATTTTCCTATATCAGACCTAGCACTGAATGGTACATCATGGGTGTGATATTAGCACGGACGCAACGGTGACAGTGTTACAATCGAGGGCTTACATCATAACATTGAGGGATAGCAAGCAGAAACATAAGTGTTCAGGATATGTGTGCACCTAGCACTGTAGGATTAGTTTTTCCTGTGTCGACAGCTAACGATAAATTCCTCCTTTCAGTTTTAATCAGGCTTCCCCTTGTAAGGAGGCAGCAGACAGTGACGCCAATCTCTCTGCCTCCCAACCGTGCCTCACCTCGGTCCTCCATCGGGGACAGTGTGTCAGGATTGTTCAGCTGCTGCAGTTAGTGCCGCCCGGGCACCTGATGTGGAGATGCTGAGGTGCGGAGGGCGTTGGTCTGACAGTGATATATTGCAGCTGATTCCATGGGGAGGGGCACGTAAAGAATGCTATGCCATGCATTGTGCCAAGTTACTAGGGCTCTTAACCCTTCCTCTGCAGCAACAGTCATATGCTAAATAAGTAAACAATAACCCGGTTATGAATTTATGAAAGTCACACAACACCATCATTTAAATGAGAAATAAAGGCCATGTTTTTTTAAGTCATAAAAGTTCATATTGTGCACATTTGAAAAAAAATGGGACAGACTAAACAAGCAGACTGCTCCTAGATATGGTTCTATCACTACTATCATTATACAAGAATTTATTTAGCACCAACAGATTGCTTTACAGCCATAACATTCTATGCAGGTTGTACAAGCTGGCCACACATTGACCTTTTTTTTTTTCTTTTGGATGAGCCAGCGGGCTGGATGAATAAGGGAATCCTCCCTGCCATGATATTGTATTCCGACAGTGAGACTCCTCCACTGTCGGAATACACTGATCAGCGCTTTAGCCCATTGGCTGCAAGCATTTATCGTACAAAAACATACCAACAATAGAACATTGGATTGACTCCTTTCAAATGAGAACAGCCATAGGTGGATTGGAATTCTGCTAGTCCCTGCTGAACCTGCCGAATTTCGATTCATCAATGGACAGCTTTAGTAAAATCTCTACGCAACAAGGGCAATCCTTCCTTCTTTCTATTGAATCAGATGTCTCTCATCTATGGACATTCTTATTCTATACACCTGGTAATTGTTAAAGTAGCTGAAAATAACTGAATTCAAATTAGTTTGCGATAACACTGTGTATTATAAACAATTCATATGATTTTACTTGCACTGTGTCATTCTTTTTCCCATCAGCACCGCTGATCTCCTCCAGCCTACTTGTAGCCACTTCCGCTATACATGTATATGTTCCAGCAGCGGTTGCGCTACATTGCTCAAGGCTGGCTGCATTATGGTCACAGCAGCAATATATGCATATGCACAGCTAGTTCGTCTGACAGGGTGACAACGCAGGAGAGCATTAGGGATACACAGACAGATTGTTCAAGAAGAGGAGGAAGTGAGGGGCTGTGCTCAAATCTCTAACCTGCAGAAGAATATATGGCTGAGGCTGATGGCTTGAGATGCACAAAGTGAGAGAGCCACCAAAATAAAGGGGTCACCCAAATTGAGAATCTGTATGTAAGTGAATCAAAAAGAACACCAAACAATTGCCTTGAGAGCCCAGAAAGTTCTTTATTCACAAATACAAGGAAAGCAAAAGGTAGCCAATGCTTTTCCAGGGTCCACAAACTTCACCTTCATCAAGTCTTGAAGATAATTTCACTTTAGGAATGCCTGCTCTCAAAAGGGTTTGAAAGTATTTATGGACAAAACATTAAAGGGTAACTCCACTTTTGTGGAGGAAAACAAAACAATAACAATAATATAATATAGCATATATAATTGCGACACAAGTCATATTATAAATAATTGTTAATAAAAATACCTTTCCTTTTCAACCTAAAGCTGCTGTAATTTTCTGTAAAAATGCAATGCCACATGGCTACCTGGAGGTTTTCTGTACACATAAGGTGTACAAAACGCCCCCAGAAACATAATTTCCTGCCTGGCTCACAGATTTTCCCAGAAGTCTGCACTGATACAAGTCAGATTTCAGGCATCCCCTGCAACAAAAATGTCATCTTTGGTGAGATGCTCCCATTAGGAAATCACCTCTAAAGGGATGCAGACCCTGCAATTTTCCTCATTAGAGCCCTACAGGTGCAGCAGATGGTAGATAATTATGAATCCACTCCCATTAGCTTCACTTTCCACATGAACACAGGAAAACATACATATCTTTCTTCAGAATAACAAAAGGTATGAATATGCAACAAAGGGTATGAACGTCCCTGCAATGTACATAGATCACCCAGAGGGAAAGGTTTTTTCTCAACAAAAGTGGAGTTACTCCTTAAGTGTTTGCACCAGCAGGTTAATGCAGTGTGATCTGCAAACACAAAATAGTTTATACTAATGATAAAATACTTTACAACTCTTTTGAGTCTAGACAAGTAATATTCCTTTCAGACCCTGATGAAGGGTCAGCTCTTCTCTGCAGCAGGACCTTACCTCGGTCCAGCGCTGTACAGTCTTCCCGCAACGGCATCTTTAGTGTGGGAACCCGGCTGTGACAGGCGGGTACCCACTGCGCAAGCGCGAGAAGCGCTGCGCTTTGTGAATGGCCCGGTGTCTTCTGGGACCTGTCATCTGTTATGGCTGTCACAGCCGGGTGCCCACAGTAAAGGGAGGACAACTCCGCGGAAGTGGGAGCGGGTACCTGTCAAATTTAGGTACCCGCTCCCCCTCCCTCCTCAAAGGTCCACAGTCTCTGGTCACCTACTGTACTGTTTGCAGTCTCTGATCATCTCCTGTACTGTCTGCAGTCTCTGGACATCCCCTGTGCTGTCTGCAGTCTCTGGACATCCCCTGTGCTGTCTGCAGTCTCTGGTCATCTCATGTACTATCTGCAGTCTCTGTCATCTCCTGTACTGTCAGGAGTCTCTGGTCATCCCCTGTACTGTGTCCGCAGTCTCTGGTCATCTCCTGTACTGTCTGCAGTCTCTGGTCATCTCCTGTACTATGTCCGCAGTCTCTGGTCATCCTCCTGTACTGTGTCCGCAGTCTCTGGTCATCTCCTGTACTGTGTCTGCAGTCTCTGGTCATCTCCTGTACTGTGTCTGCAGTCTCTGGTCATCTCCTGTACTATGTCCGCAGTCTCTAGTCATCTCCTGTACTGTGTCCGCAGTCTCTGGTCATCTCCTGTACTGTGTCTGCAGTCTCTGGTCATCTCTGTACTGTGTCCGCAGTCTCTGGTCATCTCCTGTACTATGTCCGCAGTCTCTAGTCATCTCCTGTACTGTGTCCGTAGTCTCTGGTCATCCCCTGTACTGTCTACAGTCTCTGGTCATCTCCTGTACTGTCTGCAGTCTCTGGACATCCCCTGTGCTGTCTGCAGTCTCTGGACATCTCCTGTGCTGTCTGCAGTCTCTGGTCATCTCCTGTACTATGTCAGCAGTCTCTGGTCATCCCTGTACTGTGTCCGCAGTCTCTGGTCATCTCCTGTACTGTGTCTGCAGTCTCTGGTCATCCCCTGTACTGTGTCCGCAGTCTCTGGTCATCTCCTGTACTGTGTCTGCAGTCTCTGATCATCCCCTGTACTGTGTCCGCAGTCTCTGGTCATCCCCTGTACTACATCCGCAGTCTCTGGTCATCTCCTGCACTACGTCCACAGTCTCTGGTCATCTCCTGTACTACGTCCGCAGTCTCTGGTCATCTCCTGTACTATGTCCACAGTCTCTGATCATCTCCTGTACTGTGTCCGCAGTCTCTGGTCATCTCTTGTACTATGTCCGCAGTCTCTGGTCATCCCCTGTACTATGTCCGCAGTCTCTGGTCATCTCCTGTACTGTGTCCGCAGTCTCTGGTCATCTCCTGTACTATGTCTGCAGTCCATTGGTTCAGAATATTTTTTTCTTGTTTTTCTCCTCTAAAATCTAGGTGCGTCTTATGGTCAGGTCTTATGGAGCAAAAAATACAGTATTTCTTATTTTCTTTAAAGCTGCAATTAATTATCTCCGCTTTTGTCAGTACAGGATATAATAACATTATTCACACATGGCAAATGGATTTAAAGTGTTACTAAACCCACAACAGTAAAAGCAGTCTGTAGATGCAGTAAAGCATTCTTGTTATACACACTGTGGAACCTACGGGGTTAATCCTCCGCATTGTGTAAAAAGGCTGTTTGATCCTGTCTTTTCTGATCCTTCCTCCTTCTACTGTCCCCAATCCTTCTGCTGATAGTACAGAGCAGTAGGAGTCACTCTGCTCAGTTTAGTGTGTATTGCTAGAGGTGTTTTTTTCTTTGAGAGGGTGCATGTGATCAGCACAGGGCCAATCAACACTGTCCAGAAAAAGGGTCAGGGGTTATACAGCCTCATAGGATAGTCAAAGGAGAATGAAATCTCATCCTACAAGCTTTAACCTGTGCTCAGCTGGACACTGATAGAAGTCACAAGACTGCTATATACTGCTGATGAGAAAAGTTATTTAGCAGTTTATATTTACTACAATAATTTAATGTTCTGTCCTGGGTGTAGTAACACTTTAATTCCATGGGTTCCAAACAACCTATAAATTGTAACTATCTCTGAAGCATAACATAAAGTATGTTGGTGCAGTGGGTGTAACTCTTATAGTTGTTTGCACATTCTCTGAGTTTTCCGATATGAAACTCCATTCTTCAAGTCCCCTGGAGCGTGGCTAAGTATAATGTCTAGTTTGGGGTGTATTAGCTTTCAATAGAATGACCAGTTTTGGAACAGGCACATGGATTTTGTAAGAATGACACCACTTTGACCCTGTTATAAAACAAGGGACAGCTTTAACACCTTCTTTTCTATGGAAGAACAGTGCATGGGTACAAACTAATTAAAAGGGAAAAAAAATAGGTGCTGCATTTTAAACAAGATGTTTGCTCCTATTATCTAGGATGCAGGATAAAATGACTGCAACATTCATCTGTGGTTTTCTATTATTAAATCCGTAATCTATGGCCATATTGAAATAATGGGAATGTTACCTACACTGTATAGTGGGCATTAGAAGTACCGTTTTGTTTTTCTTCACAGACTGAACGATTGATGGAATGGTTTCTTTTATTTTTTTTAGGTCGCTAGTGCACTTCTAACAGCTCTGCTATTTTCACTTCCTTCAGCACTTTCAGGGAATGTTGTAGGCAACGTTTCATCTTGACACCACTGCTCCCTGTCCCTGACATCACAAATACTCCTTCAAAGGAATACATCCAAGAGGCACTGGGACTTCAATGCAGAGCAATAAAGGAAAAAAAAAAACGGTCATTCGAAGAGCTCACTGGCTCTGGTTAAGTGGCTCACGTGCAGCACGGGCTACCTTCCAATGGGTACCCAGGAACGTCACCCAGAGCTTAACCCAATAGAAGTTGCGCCAGACAAAATTCATAAAGGAGTCCAAAACAGCTTTAATGATTTACAAAACAGCTGTTTCACTGGCATAACTCTGCCCCATCTGATTCCTTTGCAAGCACTAGGTTTAAGATTTCTCTGGCATCTGCTTCCTTGAGTCCATTTAAACACTTGCATTACTGAGCCCTTATGAAGGAGGGGCATGCTTTCCCCTGAAACATACTGGTATTTTATGAATCATTAAAATTGTTTTGGACTCCTTTACGAATTTGGTCTGGTGCTGCTCTTTATGTTGGCAAAGTCACAAATACTTCTGGCAGCCTGTGGGGAAGTTTCATATAATTTGCTGACTACAGTGGTCTCCAGCAGAGGTTAAGAATAGCGTACCATTCCCAAAATATAAAGAAAAAAGGAAATCTCATCTATTCCATTGTTAAAACATCGAAACAATAGCTTAATCCTAGCATGTATGGGGCATGATAGGGCCTCTTTAAGGATAAAAGTATGGCCCTTTTCACATGGGGCGAAATCCACTTTGCTCAGCAGGGGATCTGTCCGCTGACCCCCCGCTGGGCAGATGACAGGTCCATGTCTGCTCAGTTTATACAGGTCCCCTCTGCTCTGTGGGCAGTAGGATGTAAAGAGACTGGCTGTCTATATACATCCGAATGCCCTCCATTCCCATCTGCTTAAATGGAGGGGAACGGAGCTCCTTACCTTTTTTTTTTTAGCTGATCGGATTGGAGGTAGACGGCTACACCTGCCAGGCCATAGGGATACATGGACCATCCGATCAGGTCCGCCTAAAAAAACAGAAAGGCGGACCTGATCGGTTCACCTGTGTGAAAGGGGCCATTATGTTAGACTATCCTTGAAAGTTATTCAGAAAGACAGATCAAGGCTCATGTAGCAGGTAGAAAATCCCCTTTAATAGAATTACTGTAACTGTGAGAGTAGCCCCTTATCGAAATACAAAACACAAATTAGAAGTCACTTCAAATAATGTCTACTGAAATTCTCTTAGCAACTCCTATTCTGAAATGCTGAAAGAACACTAAACATGGGCACCTTTTAACAAGGTTCTACAGAAATCTAAAGATCCAGTATATATACATGGTTTCAAACACCTCCGAACATCTTCCTCTGATGGGCTGTCAATGCCTAGATTCTACATACTGGTTGAATCATCATATTTCTCTTTCACCAAGCATTTGAAATGATTCGAACTGTGAAGTTTAATAGCTAGCATGAAATATGCTAATGAACAATGCAGGACGGCCAAGGGGCTGTAAAGTCTACCTTTTTTTCACTACAAGTGTCCTGTTCTGAACAATTGTTTATCCAGTATTCCGAAGATCTGTAAGGAAAATATACAATGGCTGACATCTGGAAGAACAGTGCCTCTTTTGCACTCAAAACCTTCTCTACCTTTTTCTTCATTTACATGTAGATATCTGTTTAAATAAAAGTACTGTTATTCTACCAAAATTATATAGACTGCTATTAAATTTGCTATAGCAAACAATTAGCAAGTCAGTAGTTTGCAACATCATTTCTAACTTATTTTTTAAAAAATAGTTTAACTAAAAATAGCAATATTGCCTATGGCGGTTAGTCTGATGTTTGTACTTATTTTCAAGCTTATTATAGAACCAAGGTGAAGATTTTAGCACACTTTTTTCTACTCTGTGCCAATGAATGGGCAAAAAGGGGCGTTTTCAGAACCGGAGTACTCTGCCACTGAAAGCTTCTCTTATTATGTCCAAGCACCATCTCCAGGACTTCAGCTGTCAAGAACAGCCCAACCCTAGAGCTGGCAATGCACACAGCAGCAGGTACTATGGGGGAAAGTTAGGCAGCAGGTCTACTGTCTTTTAAAGGAATGTTCCTTGCGTTAGGCCATATATTTATTGTCAATGGTCATTAAAGGGTTTCTTGCCCGGCAGGTGTGCAAACCTTGGAACTGAAACACAGAAATCTCATTACTATAGACCCTGAAACCTGTAAGAAACCACTAGTTGGTTTAATTCCCAGCATCAATCAAATTTAAAAAATTGTTTGGGTAGATTCCAGGTGGAGAACAAGAAAAAACGTTTGCCAGACAACAGGCTTAAACACTTCCTGAGGGATTTGTTGGCTTAATCAAACCATGTATCAAAAGTACCAGTTTTAATTGCACTGAACAAAGCTCCTGTGCATGAAAAAATTGGAATTTATTTATATCCATAGTCTCCAGCCAGTGGCTTGTGAGCCACATGTACCTTTTACCTGTCAGATGCCTTTGATGTAGCTCACAGCACCATTCCAGCAGGGACCCAATACTTATTTAAATATCTGCTACAGTAGACATTCCTCTAAGCGTGAAACCAAACACAGGCTCCCTGATTTACATAATATTAAAAGTTACTTCATTAAGTACTTTTTTTTTCTTAGTTTGGCACTTTGGCACTCATTATAGCTAACTGAACAATGCAGGGGGCTGGCAACTCGCCAGCCTTGTTTCCTCTAAGGCCAGCCAAATTTGGGTAGAATTTTATTTGTATGCAAATGATGAAAACCCACTCATCAGGGCAGGTAAGAGTACCAATGGGGAATTTACAAATTTCATTTGAAATTCCTTATAAATTTTATTTGACTGCCATGCCAAGTGTTAACAATTTTAACATTCAATTTTGGGATGCATGAAAGTGAGTTACAGTTGTGACCAAAATTATTCAACCCCCCACTGAAATTGAGTGTTTTGGCCAGTTTGACATTGCTTTTGATCATTCAGTCATCTTGCTTACATTTACATTAAAGAGGCACTTGTAGGTCAGACAAAATATAACATAACAGTTATAATGAAATAACCACAAATGTCTTTTCTGTGCTCACAGCATTATCAGTTTTATTCAACCCCCAAGTGACATTCAATCTTAGTACTTAGTACAGCATCCTTTTACAGTTATAACAGCTTTTAAACGTGAAGCATAGCTTGACACAA